TGTTGGATCTGAAAGTTGTGGGTGTTCAAAGTGTTGAACTGATGAAGCATGTATTCTAGAAATAGCCTAGAGACATCAAAAGTCCTGAAGTTCTTCATGGCTGGGAACCAAGGTCCCAATTTCAAGCCAAATATTTTAGACACAAACCCTTGACCATGGTAAAGTGCTAAATCAAATGCTTGGCAGGCTTTAGCACCCCTCTTTTGGCTATGAACAGGCCTATGTGCTTTCCCATCTTCAGCCAAAATGACTACTGTTATTTTCCATTTTCAGCATGTTTGCCATGTATGTAAGAGGGAAAGTGAGGTGGAGGGGGAATAAGTTTCAAATAGTTCTTAGATTTCATAATGCAGTATAGACACAGACCAGACATAAACTCTTTTATCTCCTGTTGAGGTCAAATTCTTGAAGAACTTCTCAAGCAATGACCTACTTCAAGCTGCACATTTGTCCTCCTGATGGATAAGAGGAAAGATGTGGCAACTAGTGGTTTGTGTGGCAGAGCTAGTTGTCATTGTTTATTGAACGCCTGTGTTATGTATTGCTGTGTAACAGCTTACCCAAAGCTTGGCAGGTAAAACAACAAACATTTATTATCTTACAGTTTCTGTGGGTCAGGAATCTGGGGGCAGCTTGGCTGGGTATCTTTAGCTCATAGTCTCTCAGGAAGTTAACAGTCAAGCTGTCAACTGGGATGGCTGTCTCATTTGAAGGCTTCTTGGTTGGGCTAAGATGAACTTCTAAGGCCACTCACCTGGTTAAGAGGATTCAGTTCCTTGCACATGGGCCTCTGTAGTGTAGCTGACAACATGGCAGCCATTCTGATTCATGATCCTTCTTATGTAACCAAGGATTTCCCCCATCTCTGGAAGCTTTGGGGGTATTTTCTCTGTCCCCGCTACACTAGAATTTCACAATGATGTGTCTTGATATGGATGAAATCAAGTGAAAGAATGAACATAAAAGGTCAAAATAGGATGGTTAGAGAAACACTGTGCTGTTAGAGGGCAAGCATGGTAGATGGTGAGCTGGAGAGGAGCTGGGAACAGAAAGACAATGTTAGATGAAACTCTGGAAGCAGGAAAGTCAGGGAAGTTACTGGCAGTGGTCCTATCTTATCTGGTGTCTTTCCCAAGTTGGAAGTCATTCCCCAAATGCCTTACCTAGGAGTTACCAGTCTCCAGCAAATTCTCCCCATTCCCACTCTGCCACTGAAGTCGAGGGGCATATTAAGCACCAGTTCACTGTCACCCAGTAGGCCCATAAACTAGTGTTGTTCTTGAACTAACCCAGCAACTCAGGTTGCTTAACCCCAGAATCTGGTACCTTCTTTGGTCTTCTTATAGCATTATCTAGATTTTTTTTTTTTAATTTTTTCTTTTAATTTTATTTATTTTTTCCCCCAAAGCCCCAGTAGATGGTTGTATGTCATAGATGCACATCCTTCTAGTTGCTGTACGTGGGACGCGGCCTCAGCATGGCCAGAGAAGCAGTGCGTCGATGCGGGCCTGGGATCCGAACCCCGGGCCGCCAGCAGCGGAGCGCGCGCACTTAACTGCTAAGCCACGGGGCCGACCCTGGTTGTTTTTTTTAAAGTGAAGTTGGACAGATTATATACCTTAAGTCATATCATAGATATGAAAGTACTTTATAAATTGTTAAGCACTTTACAAATTAAGTTGTTCAGTTGCTGCTATTTAGAGAAACCGAATTTTCCAATTGTGTGGAAGACTCAGGCAGAAGGGTATAAAATACAAATCTGCACTGTACAGCCTACTGTGAGAGAACCACTTTCCTAGTATCTCAGTATTTTCAATTCTTCTCAAGTGTTTGCATTAAATTGGGTAACATCCTCTTGTTGAGATTATGGTAATTTTCCATTCTCTTTCTCTTGAACTAGTGCATCCTGCAATTTGCTCTCTGTGCTACATCTTGCTCTTAAATTAGAAGGGTATTCTGTTCTTTCTTCCTCCGCCTTCCCTTTTTCCTTATGGTCATGTGCACTTCGGATTTATTTTTTGGGCAAAGGCAGATGTTTTAGAAAACTGAACTCTGATTCTCTGTGGATGATTTCCACATTGATAGGGAGAAATCACTGTGCTGGTTGAAGACAACTGCCAAATGAGTTTTTGAAAATATAAACTGTATAACCTGCTACCCAGCAAGGATCAGGACCTTTAAGAGTCTCTGTGCTTAGGAATACCCTACTTAGGTATGCAGTTGCCCTGGCATTTAGAGCAGATATGCTTCTATCATTGTTATGCTGCAAATGGAAGTGGTGAAAATAAAGAACTGGTTTCCTCCCCTCTGTAGCCTTATGGAATTATTATTATGGAGTAGTATTTGGAATAATCATTGATTTCTTTTGTCTCTATCTAAAATGTTAAACGGATGTATTTCATACTAAGGGCGCTATTGAAGCCAACAGTGAATTAAATGGATTCTGTCTTAAAAGAAATTCTTTTTGAACTATCAGTGAGTTGTTTTTCCATCTATTCCTTACTCTTCACCATTCTCCCTTGTCTTTTAAGAAGATTAGATTTTCTAATGTCCATAACAGGTTAGAAAATTGCAAAAACTTTAAAGGGGAGTAAGCAATAATTTTTTAGCGTACCCAGAAGCAGACAAGGACTTTTTTGTGAATGTTGCCAAGATGGAAATGAGTGAGGAAATAATTTGTTAAAGAAAACTTAAAGATGCACCAAGGAGGATGGGGGAGGGGATGGAGTTGAGATTGAAGGGAAACAGGCTAGAAAGGGAAAGTTGCCTAAGCACAGTGATCCACAGGTATTTATTGAGTTCCTAATATTGAGATGAGTTACAAAACGTATAAACCTCCATCTTACTGTTCAGGAGTTGCGAATCTAATTGGAAAGAGGAAAATTATGCATACGAGATACAACAATTAAGTAGTATTAACTCCTTGCTCATTAGGTATAAGATTGTAGAGGAGAGAAGAGATGAGTAAAGACTGCAGTGGTTTTTGAAGGATGGGTAAGATTTAAATAAAGAACAGAAAAAGAAAAAACACATTCCAGATGATAGCGAACACATCAAAATGGGTTTGGAAGCCAAAGTGTAAACAATTAAAAAAAAAGTACATAGTTTAAAAGGCCATAGAAAGTTAGACACTCACACAAGCTGTAGACAAAAATTAAGCCTGGCAAAAACTCCCACCAAAAATGTTAGGCAAATAAAATATTTTTTATTTATAAATTACTTTATGAAAGATAATAGAAGAATTTTTTTGAGGAAAAGATATATACCCTAATAGGAAAATGGGCAAAGTACTTTAGCAAAAAAAATCATTTTAGCTAAAAATTACAATATGAGAAATATAGGGTGAAAGGGATAATTCGGTACATGTGTGTGGTGATGGGTTGTAATTAGTATTTTGGTGGTGAACATGATGTAGTCCATGCAGAAATTGAAGTACAATGATGTACACCTGAAATTTTTACAATGTTATAAACCAATGTTACTGCAATAAACAAAAAATTTATTAAAAAAAAAAAAAGAAATATAAACGGCCAGTAAGTCCATCTCAAAATATTCAGCCTCAGTAAATATCAAAGAAATGTAAATGTAAATAATAAATTGCAAGTTTTCTTTATGAAATTGGCAATGATTTAAAAAATAATAATACTCATGAATGCAGAGGAACACGCACTTACGTACTACTGGTGGGAATTTAAATTCTTATGGCAATGTGGCAGTAAATCAAAAGCCTTAAAAAACACATACTTTCCCATATAGCAGTTCTATTTCTAGGAGTTATCTTTAGGAAATCATTAAAAAGATGAACACAAGAAGGTCATCCAACCTTTATAATACAGAAACGTTGGAAACACCCCAGAAGATGGTATGGTATGTTAACCTAGAAATGGGAAAACGTGAATGATGGAGCTTCATGCTGTTACTGGAAGAATGCATACTTGGGGAATGTGTGTGTGTGTATATGTATCTGCTTAAACATAGGGGAAGTCAGGAAGGTTATATGCACCACATTGTTAATTGTTTTTAACTCTGGAAGGTTGGACAAGTGGTGACCTTAATTTTCTTTTTGCTTATCAATACAATGAACATGTATCTTTTTTTTTTTTTGTAAGGAAGATTGGCCCTGAGCTAACATCTGTTGCCAATCTTCCTCTTTTTGCGTGAGGAAGATGGTTTCTGAGCTAACATCTGTGCCAGTCTTCCTCTACTTTGTATATGGGATACTGGCACAGCATGGCTGATGAGTGGTATAGGTCTGCACCCGGGATCCAAGCCCACAAACCCCAGGCTGCCAAAGCAGAGGGCGTGAACTTAACCACTATGCCACCAGGCCAGCCCCTATCATTTTTTGAAATATGTTTTAAACAAAAACAGAGCTTGAGAATCAGAATAAGGGGCAGTTGCTTACAGTGTTCATTAAGAATGCATTTTCTGGGCCGGCCCCGTGGCTTAGCAGTTAAGTGTGCGCATTCCGCTGCTGGCGGCCCGGGTTCGGATCCCGGGCGCGCGCTGACGCACCGCTTCTCTGGCCATGCTGGGGCCATGTCCCACATGCAGCAACTGGAGGGATGTGCAGCTGTGGCATACAACTATCTACTGGGGCTTTGGGGGAAAAAATAAATAAATAATTATAATTAAAAAAAAAAAAAGAATGCATTTTCTCTACCTATTTAAATGTTAAGGAAGCTGTGTGATCTTGATTAGGTTCTAGAACCTACAGAAATTTGCCTTGAAAAGATTCCCCCCACCTACCCACTTGCCTAGAAAGGCTAACTAAGCCTAGACATTTTTTTCTTTTAACTCTTAAAGAATTATACATCTGTATAGTTGATAACTGCAGGACATGGTTAGTTTTATGACAGTTACAGACTAGCAGTTTCTGTTCATCTATAGTTAATAACTTTGACTTAAAACTTCAGAAGTTTCTGGAAGAATCTAGATGTTATGAGTTTTCACTTCCTTGATCCTTGTATCATTTTATCCTTTCTTTTGCTCCTCTTTAGGTTCTGTCATAATGAATGGATCCAGTGTGGCGAATACATCACCCAGTGTAAAATCCAAAGAGGACCAGGGGTTAAATGGGCACGATGAGAAGGAAAACCCATTTGCAGAGTACATGTGGATGGAGAATGAAGAGGATTTCAACAGACAGGTAAAGAAAGAAGTAGAAGGTTACTGATATGTGTAACTCAGCAGCTCTACTATTTTACTATCAGTCTGTCACAAAAGAAATGGGTTCCTTGGCTTTAGAATAACTTAAAAATACAGGGAGGCCTGGTCTGGGCTGACCCAGAAGCATCTTCAGCTAGTAAGAGACCAGAGTGACAGTACTTTGGAAGAAGATACTGATCTTTTTTACCACATTGATTAAAAGAGGATCTAGGGGCTGGCCCGGTGGCGCAAGCGGTTAAGTGTGTGCGCTCCACTGCGACGTCCCAGGGTTCGCCGGTTCGGATCCCGGGCACGCACCAACACACAGCTTGTCAGGCCATGCTGTGGCGGCGTCCATATAAAGTGGGGGAAGATGGGCATGGATGTTAGCCCAGGGCCAGTCTTCCTCACCAAAAAGAGGAGGATTGGCAGATGTTAGCTCAAGGCCAATCTTCCTCACACACACAAAAAATAAATAAATAAAAGAGGATCTAATGCCATGGTGACCTGGTATAGACTTCTGGGAAACAGCAGCTGTGAACAGACAGGCCAACCTGGCATGCCCCAAATAGGAACTCAGGGACTGGCAGAATGTGAGTCTGAGATAGAGAAGTGTGTTAGGTGGGGAAAAGTTAGACTACTTCAACAAAGATTTAGCAGTAATTCTTTGTCTTATATCTCTGTGATGTTAACAGCCCAAGGTAAGCATTCCCGGTAGACAGGTGATTCTGCGACCACATGATCCTTTTCATGGTGTTGCTCTGCCACCCCCAGGGCATTTATCAACTGAGTAGCTGAAGGGTAATTAGAAGTCTAGCCACTGGGAAAGGGAGAGAGCCAAAGGCCAAGGCAAGGGATCTCCTTTTAACCAAGTGATGCCAAAGTACTCACATCCCTTCTGGAAATGTTACGTGATGAATAGTTACACAGCTGTATCCAGCATGGGAGACGCAAAATGTGGTTTTTAACTGAACAGCCTGGTGCTCTGGGAAGAAGGAAACCAGTTTAGTGGGGGCAGCCAGCAGTTTCCACCCCAAGTGGCGCACCGTGTCATGATTTATGTGAATAGCACATAGACCATGCTTCCTGTCACACTCCTGTGCCCAGGTAACATTTTTCGTGGGTTGTGCCTGTGAATAAGGGTAGATTTAACGAGGGGGAGCACGCTGTTATGCTGTTGGGGAGAGTTAGGGCAGATCTTGAGCAGTCATGTTAAATCTGGTGGCTTGGAAATATTTTGTGGTTATTATTATAAGAACTTTATAACTATCTAATTTATTTGAGGTCAAAAAAAGTATGACTGATTGTTATATTGAAATACTGTTTTTAAGTCTTGCTACCAGTGACTTTTCTTTTGAATTCATGAGGCTAACTGCATTGGCCAGTTTGGGTGATTATTATTTTTTTTTTTTTTTAAGATTTTATTTATTTTTATTTATTTTTCCTCCCAAAGCCCCAGTAGATAGTTGCATGTCATAGCTACACATCCTTCTAGTTGCTGTATGTGGGAGGCGGCCTCAGCATGGCCAGAGAAGCGGTGCGTCGGTGCACGCCCGGGATCCGAACCTGGGCTGCCAGCAGCGGAGCGTGCGCACTTAACCACCAAGCCACGGGGCCGGCCCTGGGTGATTATTTTTGCTTGACCTCCCCTCTGGTGGTGGCGCCAGTGAGCTATGAATCTGTCACCAGGCAGCCTGCAGGAAAAGGATAGCCAGATGTGAAGCAGAAGGCCTGTTAAAATCACACGAATTCTGCAGAGTGAACCATACTCTTTACTAGGAGTTAACAATGTCAGCAAAGAGGTGTAAAATATCCTAGATATACATTCCTTTAGTTTAGGGTAATCTTTAAGAAATAGGGAGTTGTTTAAATAGTCCTATTATTTTTTGTTTTGAAAGAATACTGCATCGAGGACATCATTTTCTATTGGTATGCCAAAAAGTGTTTTTTATCCTCCTAAGGTTCTAGAAGAATTTTTCTCCCTTTGGGGCCTCATTACCAGAAAAGTGGGCCAGAAGCTAAGAGCTGGTTTTGATTTAATCTCCACTATCCAGGTAGTGGTCTAGTTACAGAGTTCCTGTACCTTTTTCATACTTGTAAAATGGGAAATTTAAGAAGAGTTGCTTCTTAACAAGATCGAGAAAAGAATTTCAAGCTTTAAAATGATTTTCTGCATGTGCCACATGAATGGATAATATCTGTGTCACATATTAGAGATCTTAGAAGATCTGTGTATACTTGGAATTTCTGCTATTTTGAATAACTATTTCCTCAGTCTTATTGTTGATGGAATTTGGTAGGAAAATTGAAAATTATATTTTCTCTAGTCAGTCATTAGAAGCATCTTAATTCTTAGTAAATGTCAAACAAGATCATTCTTAATTTCGGAGTAATAACCTCTGAAAGAAAGAAGTGGAGAAAAAACTGGAAGGGCTGAGTCCCACTGCGACAGTAAGTCAGAGCTCCTCATCTTTGCATGCTAGGTGGAGGAGGAGCTGCAGGAGCAAGACTTTTTGGACCGCTGCTTCCAGGAGATGCTGGATGAAGAAGACCAAGACTGGTTTATTCCATCACGAGACCTGCCTCAGGCCATGGGACAGTTGCAACAGCAGTTAAATGGACTGTCGGTCGGAGATGGTCATGATTCTGAAGATATTTTGGTAAGAGCCATATGTAGTTCCACATGTGACATAGTGAAAAGAATATAGGATTTGGAGTCACAGACTTTTTTGCTGGCCCTGCAACCTTGGGCAAGTCTCTGGAGCCCTCTGAGGCACTGTTTCTTCACTCATCACATGGGCATTATAAGAGGGTGCACTGAAGACACGTTGCACCTCGTAAAGCACTGTGAGAACATTATTGTTGCAGCATTACCAGCTTTCATTTTCCCCAATGGGCTCTTCAAAGTAGAGTTGGGATTAAGAATAAAAAATTGAACATGGAAGAGGTTTGGTTTCAAATTATCATTTTCTGCTGTTCTTTCCTTTTACTGTCCCTCATATCTATATTTATAGTTTTGAATGATGCTGTTATAAAAGTGGCCTGCTCATTTTGGAAGGAAAATACTCCTAAGAGGCCATTTTCCACTTATAATTAGAAGACCAGAGAAATGAATTCCCTGCCTCCCATGTTTACTTAATGTCAGAATTCTGTGAGTGATATAATTCTCACACAACTCATGTTCTGAGTGACTCTGCCCTGCAGTTTGCCAAGATTTTGGATATTCATGAGAGTAGATAACCAAAGAGAGTACAGCAAGATGAAAAAAAAATAGGAATTGTAGTAACTGGTTTGATGGAATACTTTGATTTCATCAAGTTAAGGTACTCAGTGAATTGAAAAATTATTTTTGGAGTCGAACTTACAAGCCTCTAATGAAAACATCATGAAGGGTACCAGGAGTCTAAAGCAGGAAGGAGAAAATGAGATTGGTTGGGGCTTAGTATGCCAGGAGCCATTGAGAGCAGCCCAGCAAAAACAGCCTGAGTTGCAAGGAATTCTGTTTTTTTCTCTCCTTGAGGCTGAGAGGAAGGTATGGTAATAGTGGAAGCAGGGAGAAAATAAGTTTTAAAGTACAGGTTTCCTTGGGATTTATGATCTCTTGGTTCTTATTTCAGAGCAAAAGTAAGCTGAACCCGGATGCCAAGGAATTTATTCCAGGAGTGAAGTACTGAGCTGACAGAGAGCTTTGAGGAGGACTTGTGTGTCCCCATGTCTGGGGACAGCGCTGCACAAAAAGGCGGAGCTGAAGGTGGGGGTGGGGCGGGTGGGGGTGCACAGCGGGGCGGTGGGGAACAGCAGTTTAACTTGACACTGTGACTGGAGTAACCAATGTGCTCAGTCTTACTCTGCAAGCCTCTGAGTATTTCCCTTTTGTTCTACTGACTTTCATTTGGAGCAGTTTCCTATTATTATTATTAGCTTTTTGAGTTAAGGAAATGATAATCTTTTTATTCCCCTCCATCAGGAATGTTCTGCTGTGTGTGTTTAAACAAAATAAGCTGACCAAGAAAATCTAGGTGTTTAAGAATGCCCTTCTCACCCTGCTGTATACTTACCAAGGGCAATGAACACCTGGAGAACTACTTGTCAAGTCTTTTAAGCTAGATGGGAAGAGAGATGAGTGGAAGTAGCAGGTGTTGCAAACCAGAGTACGCAGCTCAGCTCCCCAGACTCCTTGGGGGTTTCCTGCCATGAACTGGGCTTACCAATGGCCTGCCAAGCCCGTGTCTCCCTACCTTGAACCCCATTCAAGAAAACAGAGACTTAAAGTACTGGTTTATGGTAACTCTTTTGATGGTTGATGGAAGTTGTAAATCGGAAGGGGAGGACTGTGATGGTGATTGAGACTTGAATCATTCATTTACTCTTGGCCTACTCTTAAGCCTCTGTTTACAGCTACCATCAAACTCATTAATAACAAGGTAAAAGAGCACTAGGGTAGATTTGCCACTTTGTCCCTCAGGGTATCTAGTCCCCTGTCTCCTTTCCACTCCAACCATACTCTGTTTTTAAGGAAAGATATTGTTACCAAAGGTACATGAGAGCTTTGGCCATCAGCTTTTGGCTTCTCTTCAGGCTGGGGAAGTCATCCTTGAATCATGTTAGTTGTGTCTTAAGTTTATTTTGACAATTAATTTTTTTCCAGCCCCATGAAGACTTTGTCCTCTTGGTATCTTACTTCCCTTAGAAAGGTTTTTGCACTTTTAACAGTAAATATGTTTTTCAGGACACTAGCAAGAAGCTCTAGTCACAATATGGATGCTTCTCCCCACCTTACAGAATTATGCAAGAGAACTCAAAAATGGCCTAGGAGAGTGAGTCCTGCTTGACCCAGGTGACTGTGTGACCCACCAGAATAGTTTCAGCAATTATAAAATTTTGCCATTCCCACACACCCAGCTTTGTAAGTTTTCTAGGTGGGGCTCTCTGGGTATGTTCCTTTTATCTTTTCTGCCTGTAAGTCACAGGAGTTTTTGTTGATACTCGTAAGGAACTAAACTGGGCACCAGGAGCTGCCTTTGTGTGATAGAGACGCAGGTGGCAGAGTCAGGTCTAAAAGAGAGCCTGTCCAGTCCTAGTGATTCTCCCAGGACGAGGACTTGCAGAGGCCTGAGGAGCACAGTGGCTTCTGTGTGACTGCTACTGTGTTGTGTGATAGGCATATCAGGAAAAGATCATGTAACTTGAAATAAAGTCTGTGTAAATTCAGTATGTGGACGTGGGACAGAGGTTGGAAGGAAAGGACTAGGGTCTGGAAAGCTTAAGAATTTTTCCTTTTTCTTATGAGCTCCCTTGTTGACTTTTTGAACAGCCCCAGGCTAATGTCTGATTTAAAATACAAACTCACATCTTTTCCTCATTTGGGTCTATAGGATGGCATCATTTGAAAAATGACCTTCCTTGTTAGGTCACATGTCATAGGAGAGTAGCTTAGGGAGCTTGTATTGCCAGATGTGCACATTACTTCTCAAAGCCTCTACTTTGAGAGAATGGAACTTGTAACTCATTTTCAGGAAGGGCTGTGAATAAAGAGACTTTAATCCAGCTTCAGCTTTCAGCTGGGGTTGTTGCCTCTAATAAGGAGAGGGCCTTGGAAGTGCAGAAATAGAGGTCTGTCTCTTCTGTGGCTGCTTTTCCTCCTTCAGTCTCCATTAGCTTGTCCAAGCTCAGAATTCTAAAGGCTGTTGGAAATGTGTTGGGATTGCAGAAAGAGCCACTTTCTAGACTGTAGGTGTCTCCATCACAAAGAGTACAGTGGAGTCTTGTGTGGCTCCCGGTCTGGAAAGTCCTACAGGGGTTGAGATCGAGCTGTTTCTTCATCCTGAACAAGGCTTGCTCTTCTGACACCAGGATAGGCTAAGATGTCAGGTATAGTCCAAACGGTTTGTCTTTCCATCTGCTGTGGTCTCCCATTTTGGATGTCAGACTTCAGTATGGTTTCACAGGCATATTTGGTCAGGACTAAGAAAGCTTCCTGCCAGATGAGCAGTGGACCTGAAGGCTGGACCTTCCAGTTCTCTTCAGACAGGGTGTGCTGACTCCGGGATCAGGAAGCAGCTGGCAGTGTGACCCTTTTTTAATTATAGGCTTGTGCTTCCAGCGGTTCCTCTTGTAGCCCAGCTCTTTTCTGCATCTATTTTATGTTGTGAGGTGGGAACCCAATTGTTACCCAGATTACAGGCTCAGCTTTAGTTAGAATTTGCCAATTCCTTAGCAGAAAATGCGTGTGGGTCTTGTTGGACTTTCACTGGGGAAAGTCTGGGAGCCCCTGTCTCAGACTTTTTCTCGTAGGAGAGGTTCTGGGTGCAAGCCAGGCTGGACACCTTTACCCTTTAAGGGTGAGGCTGGTATTTGTAGGTGATCATTTTGATGTTGAATTTAAGCCACTACCCTGTTGAAACTTTTTTTATTGGCAACTGGAAATTTGAGAATTTGCACCGAAACAGAATATGTATTTTTAATAATTGCCAGTTCTGGCTGGTCCCAGTATTAGTTTATTAATGATTGATTTCTGAGTTTTGTGATTATTGGACTCTAAAACTCCAAGATGAAGATCGTTCTCTCTTGCTCTTCAAGGGGAGGAAAATAAAGGCAATGCCTTTTCAGTTTCTCCTGGCCCTAGAATTGCAGCAGAGCACTGGATGGGTAGAGCCCAGGCCTGAGCGCCTGCAGCTTTGGGTCTGTGGGCCAGTTTCTGACTGCAGCAGTTGACTTTGGGGATCATATAAAGTCAGACCAAAAAAGATCGTGAGGAAGAGGCTGGACCTTTAGTTTCCAAAGTCAAAACAGCTGGGGTCTCTTTAATTAAGGCTATAATGCTAACTATGACTTAAAAAATGTTTTTAGTGAAATACTAAGCAGCATTTTTCAAATTGTGTATTGCTGTAATGTCAAAGTTTTGTCTCGATTTTGGAGAGGCCAGGAAGTAAGGAGGTCACTCGAATACTCTGGCAATTAATATATGTCAGACCGGAAAGATGTGTGAAGAAGTAGCCAAAGGAAACAGCTTGACTGAATCTTCTTGCATTAGTGCTGCTGCAAACCCCATGTAGAAACATCGTGGGGAATCTACCCTACTGTGATTGGAGGGGGCAAGTGTTCTTCTAGAAGGGTCCCAGCATCACAGGTTACTAATGTTTCTTGGTTTAGGTGATGTTGAGGTATGGGAACAGGCAGAGACCTGAAAAATTTGACCAAGACTTGGAGATGTCTGCCTGTTGGGAAAGACTGTATATCCCCAGCCACTCTCTGGGATAATGCGAACCTTGTTAGTTTGGGAAGTGTGTGGAGAGAACAGGAGGATTGACCCGGATCTGGTATGCTTCAAGAACCTTGATCTCCCCCTACCTCTGCCCACAGTTCCCCATGTGAATCAAGTCCCCCCTCATTGTCCGCAGGGATCAATAGTTCTCCTGACCCCACCCTGTGAAGTATGCAGAGTACTTCCTGTGGCCACTGCTCTACTGCCTTGTGAATTTCATCCACAGACTTGGTTAGTCACAATTTTGAGAGGTTTTTGTTTTCCCTTTGTTTGTAATCTTCTGTCTTTATTTCTCCCATCTTGAAGCTGCAATTGGTGACAAAGAATAGGGGAATAGGAGGCTGACTAAAGGAGACACTCAAGTTTTCCTGCTTGGTACTTGGCCTTCAGCCCTCACCATCCAACCCCCTACTGCTGTCCCCAGTCAGTTTAGTTTTTAGAGGGGGTCATACGAATAGGACAGCTGAGTATGGTACACTGATCTCTACAGGGTGTCAGCCAAGAGATTCACCACTCTACTCCCAGGGGACAGAAGAGAAATCTGCAAAGGGACAGGTGCACCATCTTTATTCTAAAAGAAAAAGCCCCCTTAGATTTTGTCACTGCTAGGAGTCTCATTTGTGAGATTTCTTTCCCAATCCTACCTTCTTACTGACTACCTTTTATTTTAAAATAATGAAGAAACATTCTAGGCTGTTTGCTATAAAATAGTACAGTGTTTTCACTCTGTAACTCAACACTAAGTGATAATCCTGCCCTGTTGATTGTGAACTTTCAGGAGTGTTTAATGCTTGATGGGTGGTTTGGGAGGCAGGGACTTTTTTTTTTTTAAACAACTTTATTGAGGCATATTTTACATATCAGAAAATTCACCCATTTCAAATGTACAATTCAGTGATTTTAGTAACGTTCCTGAGTGGTGCAGCCATAACCATACTCAGTTTTAGAACATTTTCATCGGCCACAGTAAGATCCTTCATGCCCATTTACATGATAATCCCTGTTCCCAGCTTTAGGCAACCACTAATCTTCTGTCTCTATACATTCACCTTTTCTGGACATGTTATCAATGGAATCATACAAAATGTGTTCTCTTGATGCTGGCTTTTTTCAGTTAACATATTTTTGAGGTTCATCCATGACATGTAACTTGTGTTGGTAGTTTGTTCCTTCTTATTGCTGAATAGTATTCCGTTGATAGATAATACAACATTTTGTTAGCAAGGAGTCTTTTAAACTTGGATTTCAACCTCCTGTGGTCTCAGTGGAACTCTCAGAACATAAAACTCATAGTGGGAACTGCTGTGCATGTCAGAGGAACTACTTATCAGAACCAGCTTTGTCATCAGAAGCTCCACATGAGGAGCCTGAACTGCTGCAGAAATTTTTATGATAATTTTGCAACTTCTTTTTTATAAGGAATTTTTGTGCTGTCTATGTATCAGAACTTTTGAAGCATCTGATAATTTAATAGGTATGAGCATGTGTTTGAGTGGACAAGAAAGTGAAACCATCAGTACTATGTTGGGTACTTTTTCCTCCTCGACTATGGATAGGGGGATCTCTGAACTTTTGAAATAGAGTATCGTCTCCCATTACAAAGCTGAACATATATTAACGGTAGTGCTGCCTTTGTGGGACTGATTTGAAGGGAAGGAGGATGTCCAGCAGAGGAGGTCAAGAGGAGAAGGGGAGTGGAGTTGTGGAAGAAGCCGCCCCCAGAGGGTCTGTGCACGGCCCACCCATCTGTTGGTGTGGACGGTGAAGTGCTGATGGGGTCCTGGGGCAGCCCAGGTCTTGACTTTGGACCTTTATCCGTTTCACAAGTGTTTAAAAGCTGTTTTTGTTCCTTTTTTCCCCCTAAATAAACATTACATGGTAGTTATTTAATACTTTTTTGGGGGAGGGGCAGGGCTTTAAAATAGAGGAAAATAATTTTCATAAAAATATCAAAAATGGAAAAAAAAGTTACTTTTTAAAAAATTTGCTATACAAACCAAATGGCAGCTGTTGAAAATCTCAATAAAATGAGAATAAAATGCATTTGCTGGAATTGGGTCATTATATATCATACTACAGGGGGTGTATGTGTGTGTGTGTTTGTGAGACATTTTTTATCTCAAGATGGATCGCAGTTTTAGTTGCATAATTTTCCATTCTATATAGTGTTACAAAATAGTATAAATGCATTGGCTTGGGAGTCACAGACCTGGGTGAACCCCACCTCCACCACCTGAACCTCAGTTTATTTGTAAAGGTGTGACACCTCCCTCCTGGGGCTATTGTGAAAATTAGACCTAATTTAATTTCAAAATACTGCCTGGCACATACTAGGCACCTAATACGTGGTAGCAATAGTGGCAATAATGTGTACAGCTTTGAACAAAGAGGTGGTAACAGGAAATCCTTGAGCTTGAAGGGAAATTAGATAGCTGTTATTTTCCTGTTTCTAGGCAAAACTGACTCACCTACTGAACAAGTTTAGAAGCCTGCTAGGTACCAGGCAGTGTCCTAGGTACCAGGGCTACTGGGTAACAAGTAGACGTCGTCCCTGCTGTTGGGGAGATCAGTTTGGTAATTCGTACTTATTTCGTTTACCCCTGACTTGAACCTCCCAATGATTCCCTGATGGGCTTTATCATACAGTAAAAAGATCATGGGACCAGACCATGGCCCATGGGTTTTGCTTTGAGTGCTGTCATTTCTTTGCCTACTTCCTAAAACCAGAAAAAAAAAAATCTGAGCTGACTTGTCTATAGCTTTTTGAGATACTATAGTTGTATATACAGGACCTAAACTATTCATATCCTTGAAGATGTGAATGGTGTATGCATCTTAAAAATTTCATTAAACTTAATTGAAGTATGTTACAGAAAAGCTCAGATTTTTTTCTTGGTTTTGTTGTTGTGAGGAAGATTGGCCCAGAGCTAACATCTGCCAATCCTCCTCTTCTTGCTGAGGAAGACTGGCCCTGGGCTAACATCCATGCCCATCTTCCTCCACTCTACATGGGACGCCACCACAGCATGGCCTGACAAGCAGTGTGTTGGTGCACGCCCGGGATCCGAACCGGCGAACCCCGGGCTGCCGCAGGGGAGCACGCGCACCCAACCGCTTGCGCCACCGGGCCGGCCCCAAGCTCAGATATTTTAAGGGTGCAATTCCATAAATTTTCACCAACTTTCAATTGGTATAGTGTTAAGAGTGTACTAATTTTCAATCCTTACAGCACCCATCACAGCTAGAAGACATGCAGTAAGTTTGCTGAATGAATGGTACTGAGGAGGCTGTGCTGTTCATGAGGTCACACGGGTAGATTAAGGCAGGGCTGGCCTCATTCAAGTCCAGTTCTTGTTCTAAGCTCTTGTCACAAGGCTGTTACAGGCTCAGATGAGATGAATATACATATCTCCAATGCCTTGGTAATACAGAATCCCATTAATTGCTCCTGATATCTTATTAGGGACAGAGATTATAAGTTTAAGATTAAAGGGGAAGAAACTCATCAAAAATCATTTATGACTTTCTGCAATGCAACCTCTAATAGTCTCACTAACTGGAGAATAAGCTACCTCATCACATCCCCTTTGGCTAAAGGAACCAGGAACACATCTGACCTTGTGCACTTGAACATTGCCTTCATTTTTTCAGCTAACATTTATTCAACACTTACGTGCTAGGACTAAAAAAATCAATCAAGATGTGCTCCTTACTCTGTTCTAAAACCTCCACTGTCCAATTGGAATAGTAGAGCCTAGACAGTGGTAAGGAAGAGTGATGGCTGTATCCTGAAGAACTAAGTAGGTCTCTATAAGCTTTTCACCAATCAAGTTTTAGATTCTAAATCCAAAATACTGCTTGGTCCTGGTCCTGAGATTATGTAAAAAAAAAAACTTCTCCTAAGCTCACTAATTAGTGTTAAGACTATGAGATACAGCACAGGCACCTCCACTGTGTCCCTGTTCTCTTTGCAAGCTTTTTATCAGATGTGTTGAAGACTTGCTGCGAGTTGGAACCCAGTGGTTTGGACCATAGCTAGACATGAAGATGGCTGGCTGTCCGTCAGAAGGGACTTGGCCTGAGTTGTAATTGCTCAAAGCTCCAGCTTGCTGTATTGGGCTACAGCTGATGGGATGAGAGCTGGTGTCATTCTGTTCCACACTGTGAAATAACAGTGTCATATGACTTGGGAAACAAGTATCCATGACCCCTCTGGGGCCTAATCAGAACTCAGAAGCTGTAGGGTAGATCTCCCTGAAGTGCAGATCCTGGACCTCTGCAGCAGAAATTACCCAAGGTATTTAGTAGAAATGAAAATTCCCCATCTCATTATTGACCAATTGAATCAGACACCTTAAGAGGGGGGGAGAAGACAGAAATCACAGTTTAAAGCCAGCTCTAGAATAACTGATACACATAAGTTTGAGAACTGATGCCCAGGACATGACCCACGCCTTCCAAGAGCTTACACCCTCAACACTCTAGAGGCAGCCACTGTGGATCAAGACTCTGTCTTGGGGCTGGCCCCGTGGCTTAGCGGTTAAGTGTGCGCACTCCACTGCTGGTGGCCCAGGTTCGAATCCCGGGTGCGCACCGACGCACTGCGTCTCC